TCATTGTTGTTTGGCAGGCCCGGGCTGGATTCAAACCCACCACCTTGGGTGTACGTGGCTGGCGCCTTAGCTACTTGAGCCACAGGCGCTGAACCTATAGCTTTTTTCTTATACAAGTCTACTGGAATTATAAATAAGAAAAAATTATCTGCTTTATTTTTTAGTCAAGTTTATTGACTATTGAATTTATGTGCAGTAAAATTCACCCTTGAAAAATGTACATTTGATAAGTTCTAACAAATACCCAGAGTTGTTAACAAACACCAGAATGAAAATACAGATATTTCCATCACCTCAAAAAGTTCCCCCACTGCCCCTCTGCAGGTCAGTCCTGTCCTCCTCCACCCTGGGCTAGCACTAATTTGACTTTTATCCCTATATTTGATCTTTGGTATGTCATAAACGGAATCCTATAGTATATAGTTTTTGTGAAGGGCTTTGTTCACTTAGCTGATGGCTCCTGACCTCTCTTCAGGTTGGATGCGTCAGTGGTTTGTTCCTTCTTACTGTTGATTAGGAGTCCACGATATGGACACAACAGTGTGTGTTTATCCATTTATCCATTGAAACACATTTTTGAATACCACTTTAATAAACTTATGTTTTTATTTCTCTTGGATAAACACCCAGGAGTGAGTTTGCTGGGCATGTTGTAAATGCATACTTAACTTTATAAGAAATCGCCATGTTGGGTGGTGCCTGTGGCTCAGTGAGTAGGGTGTCAGCCCCATATACTGAGGGTGGTGAGTTCAAATCCAACCCTGGCAAAACTGCAACAACAAAAAAAATAATAAAAAAATAAAGTTTAAAGAAAAAAAAGAAATTGCCATATTATTTTCCAAAGTGGCTGAACCATTTTCATTTCTACTAGTGTAATATATAAGATTTCCAGTTGTTCCTCTTTCTCACCAGCCCTTGATTTAGCCAGTCTCGTTAATTTTACATTTGCTGGTGGATATCCTGATGGTAGTCATTGTGGTGTTAATTTGCATGTCCCTAAAATGAATGATACTGACTCTCTTTTTATTGTGCTCATTAGCCAGGTGTAAATTTGCTTTGCTGAAAGGTCTTTTCATATCTATTCTTGTCTTGGGGTTGTCTTGTTAAGTCATAAGAGTTCTCTATATGTTCTGGATACAAATCTTTGATTAGATACATGTTCTGAAAATATTTTCTCCCAGAAAACGTGGCTCGCCTTTTCTTTTTCTTTTCTTTTTTTTTTTAGGAGACAGGATCTTACTCTGTCACTCAGGTTAGAGTGCAGTGGTACAATCAGTCATAGCTCACTGCAACCTCAAAATCCTGGGCTAACGTGATCCATGTTTATCAGCTGGACAAGTAGCTGGAACTACAGCCACAAGCCACCGTGTCCAGCCTCTTTTTTTTCTTATTTTTTTAATAGAGACAGTGTCTTACTATGTTGCTAAGGTTGGTCTTGAACTCCTAGTACAAGCAATCATCCTGCCTCAGCCTCTTAAAGTGCTGGGATTGCAGGTGTGAGCCACTGTGCCTGACCTTATTTTCTTAATAGTATCTTTCAAAGGGCAGAAATTTTTGCTTTTGATGAAGTCCAATTTATTCAGTTTTTCCATGAATAGATCATGTTTTTGGTGTTGTGTCTAAAAAACTTTGTCTAACCCCAGGTTGCAAAGATTTTCTCTTATGTATTCTTCTAGAGGGCAGTGGCATCATGATAGCTCACTATAACCTTAAACTCTTGGGTTCAAGTGATCCTCCTGCCTCAGCCTCTCAAGTAGCTGAGACTGCAGGTTCTTGCTGCTATGCCGCTAATTTTTTAATTTTTCTTAGAGGTGGGGCCTCACTATATTTCTCATGCTGATCTCAAACTGCTGGCCTCAGGCAGTCCTCCCACCTCAGCCTCCCAAAGTGATAGGATTACAGACATGAGTCACCATGCCTGGCCAGTTTGGGGATGCTTTTTCCTTTTTTAAAAAAATTATTTTTTTCTTGATGTGTTTCATTTTGGGTAGTTTCTATTGCTGTGCCTTCCAAAAGTTTGCCAGGTTTTTCTTCTGCAATGTGTGTTCTGCTGCTAATTCTATACAGTGAATTTTTCATTTCAAACATTTTAGTTTTCATGTCTTAAAGTTTATTGGTAAGGTCGTTGTGGCACGATAATTTACAGAGTTCCAGTGGCATTCCTAAAAGACTGTTTTTGAACAAGAACCCAAATCAAGGATTCCTTCAAGGAATTTAAACTACCTAGAATTAATTTATGTAGATTAAAAGCCTTTCACATGTGCAAAATTATTTGTATATTATAACTATACTTTTAAAACATTTTACTTTTGCTTCCTCAACTATTTATCATCCACTTATATGTAGTTTGATTTCTATTATTTTTAAACACTGTAACTACATTCCTTTCTAAATATCTTTATTATGTTTAGATTCCTTTACTAAATTAGACTGACACATTATTTGGATTTTCACTTAATTTGCATTTGTAAATGATTAATGAATTGTGCCTTCATAAATAGGCAAGAATGCCAAGATCTTTAAAATGTCTATTTTGAGAAAATGAAGCTAGCTGGGTGTGGTGGTTCCTGCCTGTAATCCTAGCACTCCGCGAGGCCGAGGCAGGTGGATTGCTTGAGCTCAGGCATTGGAGACCAAACTGAGTAAAAGCAAGACCCCATCTCAAAAAATAGCCAGGTGTTGTGGTGGGCGCTTGTAGTCCCAGCTGCTCTGGAGGCTCAGGCAAGAGAATCGCTTGAGCCTAGGTGTTTTTTTTTTTTTGAGACAGGAGCCTCCCCCTGGGTAGAGTGCGGTGGCATCTCAGCTCACAGCAGCCTCCAACTCCTGGGCTCAAGCGAGTCTTCTGCCTCTGCCTCCCAAGTAGCTGGGACCACAGGCGCCCGCCACAATGCCTGGCTATGTTTTTTGGTTGCAGCCGTCATTGTTGTTTGGCAGGCCCAGGCTGGATTCGAACCCGCCACCTTGGGTGTACGTGGCTGGCACCTTAGCCACTTAAGCCACAGGCGCCGAGCCGAGCCCAGGAGTTTGAGGTTGCTGTGAGCTCTGATGGGACATCACTCTACCCAGGATGACAAAGTGAGACTCTGTCTCAAAAAAAAAAAAAAGAAAGAAAAGAAAAGAAAAAGCTGTAAATTCCTGGAGATCGGACAGTTTCCTTCGGAATTATTTGATATTTTAAGGTTATTCCCTTATGTTTTTGCCTTGGCAATGAGGTTTGCTTCATTTATAAGTTTTCTTACTTGCAGAGAGACTGTAACTCTGAAAATTTAAGAACAAAACCCAAGTAGTAATATGAATCAATAATAATGGATGAAAAATGTTTAAAGTATTTTGCTTCTTTGTTTAATGCTGAGTTTCGTTGGAAATGTCATATTTACTGGAGAAAACGTATAAGGATTTAAAAATATTTTCTCAGGTAAAAGTGATACAAATAATCCTGGACCCGAAATTAATAAGATTCGAACACCAGAGAAAAAGCCTACAGAGCCAAAACAGGTATGCTGCTGTCATTTAGTGAATGCTTTGTTTTCATGGATTGAGTCATATGGTCATCTCGGAGTCCTGCTGTTTTATAGAAAAGTATCTGCCTTTTTACATTTATGTTCGTTTCACAGAGATCTCGTGGATCATTTTGCCCCTTTTCCCTCACCTTTTCTTGGATTGTTACTGCATTTATCAATATACCTTTTTAAAATTCCATTTATCAATGATAGACTTGAATTTAGCAACTTTTTTTGGCCAGGGCTGGGTTTGAACGCGCCACCTCCGGCATATGGGGCCAGCGCCCTAGTCCTTTGAGTCACAGGTGCCACCTTGAATTTAGCAACTTTTTGTGCTAAGGTAGTAAATGAAGACAGAGCTACAGATGTGTCATTGAACATTATCTCAGATTGGGAAGAGCTGTGATAGTGAAGAAGGCAGGCTCCACTTCCTCCAGTCCTGCACGCTCCCCTCTCATTACACCCACTGTTTAAATCCTTAACTCATGATTTCTCCCTTCATCTACTTTCTCTACTCATGTGCTGTGAGCCAGTCGGAGAAAATCAACTCACTGGTTGAATTAGTGCCACTGGGAATTCATGGTTTCCAATCTCGTGGAACCTGCGGGGCTCCCCTGCATTTCTTGCACATAGCCCGAACCCCTGTCCCCAGTGCTTTCAGTGGCTTTTCTCAAGCTGATCACCTTCTACCTTTGATCATTCTCATCCTCAGAAGGTGACTTGGCCCGAAACTTACGTCATCAGGATTTCCTCCCATTCATTGGTAAACGTAAACTTCCCACTTTTTCTCCAGCCTCGATCACCCTTCCTTCCGTGCCCCCGTCTCTGAGGGAGGGCCCTGTGAAGACTGACTTCTCCTTTTCTGGGCACCTCGTAGACCCTTGTTTCTTCTCATTTATTTTTAGACTCTTTCTACCCACTGGTTCATCCTCCTCAACCGACAAGATATTCATGTCTCTCCAAACTAAGTCAACTGATGGACAGACTTTAAAGAGAAAGAGACCTTGTTTTGCGTCCCTCCCCTTAGTGTGACTGCTCCGCGTCTCCTGCGCTCCCCCTCTCTCTCTTCCTTACCCACATAGCTTAGTTGTAGGTCTCAGCATTTCACTCAAACTATTGAACTCCAAGTGACCACATCTTCAGAGCATACTTCAAATGTAGTCTTACTTGACTTTTCTTAGTTTTTGGCACAATTTTCTACTTCTGCCTTTGACCATCTTGTTTCTTTTGTTTTCTATGACACATTTCTACTTTCCACATATCTCTCTAACGCGGCCTTCTGTCTCTTTTATAAATTCCTATCCGCCCTTTCCCATCTGTCCTCAGTCCTTAAGTTGGGATTTCCCAGAGTTCTGTCATTGTCCCACGTCTCTTTGCAGTCTATGGTTAGTTACTATAAATAAGTCCAATCTGTGATTTTAACTACCCACTTCATGATAATGACTTCCAAATCTGCATCACCAACCTCAGCCTAGCTTTAAGCAACTGTTATTCTCTCTGTGCAGTTACTTACGTCTCATAAACGTCTCTGACTCACAGTTTCTACATCTGGAGGGATTCAGTGCCCACTGGAGGAGCTGCGGTATGAACGAGGCCCGCTCTTGATTGATAAGAGGGGGCCTGCAGCGAAAGTAGGAGTAGTGTGTGTTTGGGAAAGGGTGTGGAGAGAACCAGTGACATGTCAGGATGCTGCCCCGGTGCCAGCTCGGTGAAGCCAAGATAGCTAAGTGTCTCTCCTATTCTTGTTTTTAAATTTCTATTAAGATTCTTCTCTGTTAGAGAACTTGAAATCTGATGAGCATGTTTCATTTCTTTACCACCCTGATGCTTGAGGCCCAGGAAAAATGAAGGAAGAAGAACTTATCTTTTCCTTTGACTCAGTATTAAGAGAAAAGTGGTAGAAGAGAATCTAATTCTGACCTAATTCTGATAGTGGCAGACACAGACTTCTTTAGACCTTACGGTCCTCTGTCCTGATTAGTGAGCGCATTGTGGTGGTGCAGTCCTGATCTAAATTTCTAAGACCCAGACCTAGTTTCCTATGTCAAAGTCAGAAGGAAGGAGGCAGTTACAGTGGCAGCTTATTCACAAACAGCCTTGACATCAAGTTACGGTATTCCTCATGTGATCAGTGTATATAAACATTATCTTCTGGAAGAAAGTTATCCCAGATGAATGTAACTTCATTCATTAAAACGATGGAGATTTATGAGGGAAAATATTTGTTTATAAAGAAGTTTCATCAGGGTCTGAGGCATCTGAAGAGCAGGCATTGCAGCTGCTTGGGAAAACTTGGATACAGTTGTCATCCTTCCTGCTTATTTTCTTAGATAATTATTTATATGCACCCAGTAATCTTAAAGACCTAAAACTGGCCATTCGAGGTAGGCGATTAGAGATGAGGGTGCACTTGAGGTACAGTTGGCACCACAACCACTTGTTGCAACAGCTTGGTCACCAAATGCATCCCAGCTGCAGTTCAGGAACAAGCTACTTGTTCTGCTTTCTTGGGAGTGGCCAGTTCCATGGCTAACTTGGAACTTGAGAGCCTTGGGTGAGGCAAGTACTCTGCAATCCTCAGAGACTATTTCATCATTGACGTTTATTAGGAGATTGTTAGGCCAAAGCAGCTCCCTGAGTCAAAGACAGAGCTGGAAAAGACAAAGTGCTTCTTTCCACCCTATTTTTCATTTTTCACATTGGCATCTCTAAAGATCAAACTTACATTTCAGAAGGTTGATAATACTCCCTAGCTTAAAGACCTTGTGTAGTTTACTGCTGTTTACAGAATTAAAAACAATGTCCTCAGTATTATAATCATTCAGGCTCTTGTGTAAATTGGGCTTTTGTTGTTTCATCTGATGTCAAGAAGGGAAAACTAACATGTAAGCAAATGGAGTCAGAGCTCTCTGTGTGCCAGACTTGTCATGTTTCCCAGTCTGCCGTGCTTTGCCCTTCTCTCAACCTTTGCATAAGCTGTTACCTTCACTTGGAATATCCTTCCCTCTCTGGAATATTCCAGCTCTTTTTGTAAGATTCGACTCAAATGCCATCGGCTTTGTGAAAGCTTCTTTAATTTTCTCAGGCACTGGGAACACATCCTCAGACAGTCCCTCTAATTATATGTTTAGATGTCAATATCTTCTACTGGATCTAAACCAGAGGTTAGCAAGTTTCTACTGTAAAGAGCCAGATAGTAAATCTGAGGATCTGTGGCCCACATGGTCTCTGTTGCAGCTGTTGAAATCTGTCATTGTAGTGCAAGGCAGCCACAGACGGTATGTGAGTGAGTGAGTGTGGTTGTGTTCTGGAAAACTTCATTGAAATCCACAGAAATCTGGTGGGGTGGGAATGGATGTGGGGGGTCGGGGGGTGGGTCATAGTTTGCAGACCACTTCTCTAGGCTCTTAGTGGTATAGGCCAAGTCCTCGTATCGATTTTTTAATCATCAGCACCAGGCACAGTGTCCTTGGCAGGGTCATAATAAATGTTAAAGTAAAGAACGTTGTTATACCATGGCAAAAAGTGACATCCAAACTGGTTATTTCATTGTTCATTTCAAAGTTGTTCTAATTGAGACACATCTTTTTATTAATATAGGTAAGTTTGAGAGAATAGTTTAGATGTATAAAAGCAATAAAATCAGAAGGAAAGAACACATTTTAATGATACATGTCAGAAGGAGACAAATGGCTTTCTAAGGAAGAAACTGTGAAATTAAAAATAATGTTTTTAAATGAATTTAAATGGTTGTAGTAATAAAATGGCAGGTTTTTTCCTCATGACTCAAATTTAATATGCTAGGTTTTTCTTTGTTATCTTTTTTAATTTAAAAAATATTTCCTTATTTCATTGAGAGAGAATGAATGAGTGGGCACCCAGCACTCCTGCTGTTACGGATAAGAATGTATCGTATCCTTTATATGGGTAGGATTGGGAAAAGGTGGAACGTCACAGAACTCAGATTTTCTGCAGTTAAAAAAGCCTTCTTATTTTTTTCTAGGTTGATTTGGAATCAAATCCACAGAACAGAAGTCCTGAATCACGTCCTGGTGTTATTTATCCCAATACCAAATTTCCTCGCAAAGATAATCTCAACCCCAGACACATAAATCTGCCCCTTCCTGCTCCCCACGCACAATATGCAATCCCTAATCGTCATTTCCATGCCCTTCCCCAGCTACCAAGACCGCCATTCCCGATTCCACAGCAGCACACCTTGTTAAATCAGCAGCAGAATAGTTTGCCTGAACAACCAAATCAAATGCCACCTCCACCAAATCAGGTAGTCCCTCAGCAGAATCAGCTGAGCCAGCAGCCCCAGCAGCCGCAGCAGCCTCAGCAGCCTCCGCAGCCACCACCTCAGCAGCCACCGCCTCAGCTTTCTCCTGCGTATCAGGCAGGACCCAGCAGTGCTTTCTTTAATAATGCAGTTTCTCATCGACCACAGACTCCTCCTGCAGAGGCTGTGATTCCTGAGCAGCAGCCCCCGCCCATGCTGCAAGAAGGCCACAGCCCTCTGAGAGCCATTGCGCAGCCCGGCCCCATTCTTCCTGCACATCTGAATAACTTCATTGATGAGAACCCCCCAGCATTACCTATAGGAGAGGCATTAGGTAAGCTTTCCTAGTAGTGCTAGATGCGAGAAATTCAGATCATTTACCTAAAATGATGTGTATTATACACTGTTGGTTTGGGTCAGAATTGATCCATTTCTTCAAATAATGCCAGCAGAAATCAACCATTTAGTGTAATAATCAGATTCCAGTTCCAAATGGTGGGTGATAGGAAGTATTCAGTTGACGTCAGATTCATCTTCCTGGAAGCGTCATCATTATCCTAACTCTGGTTTTTGGCAAATTTAGAAAACATTTACTTTCTACCAAAACCAAATTGCAGCTATTTCTTTGTCTCTGTGGAGAAAATCTGTTTGTTAAAAACTCTTGGAAAAATTAACTTAAAATCCCAAATTCGTGAAAACTTAAATTTTTCACAATGTTTTGCAGATCGAATACATGGGAGTGTGGCTCTGGAGACGTTAAGGCAGCAGCAGGCACGGCTGCAGCAGTGGAGCGAGCACCACGCCTATCTCAGCCAGGGCAGCATCCCGTACCCGCACCCTCACCACCCTCACCTCCAGCATCTTCCTCAGCCACCCCTCGGGTTGCATCAGCTGCCAGCGAGGGCAGACTGGAAGCTCACCAGCAGTGCCGAAGATGAAACAGAGACAACGTATTCAAGGTACTAAAGCCGACTGAAAATAGCCTCTAGCACATGACCCCCCCGGCTATTTTTTTTTTTTTTAATGTAGTCTTTTTAGCTTCAACTTGGAATATTGCCTCAAAGAAATCAGATGCAGGCTTTTTAGCACTATGCTACAAAGTTTCCTTGATTTACTCTAAAATATGGAGAATTCATTTAGGAGTAACTCTTACAGACCTAGGCATAGATGATCTAATTTGGTTTGTAAATTAAATGGGGTCCCTTGCTTTGTGGTCTCTTCTGCAAGAGAATCACAGCTTCGCTATAGGTGTTTTGTTGGTATGTAGTAATAATACTTACAAACAATGAGTAAAGACAAAAGTAAGCTGGAAATTAAAAGTTAAAAATTATAAATTTTCCATTAAGTTTTTTCTAGTTGTACACAACTCTGTCTTTTTACAATTATTATAGCTACTTATAAGTGTTCAGTCCTAACTGTAAGCTTGCTTTTATGGCCAGTGTCATGTGACTGTCATGAAATGTTTCCTAATTCCTTCTGAATAAGGTCCACCATCGTGATAACCTTTTATTTTTCTTCATTCATGCATTCATGAGACAGAGCCTTGCTCTGTTTCCCAGGCTAGAGTGCCATGGCATCAGCCTAGTCTATGGCAACCTCAAACTCCTGGATCAAGTGATCCTTCTGCCTTAGCCTCCCTAGTAAGGTGAGACTACAGGTGCCGGTCACAGCACTTAGCTAATTTTTCTATTTCTTTTTAGTAGAGATGGGGTCTCACCCTTGCTCAGGCTGGTCTCGAAGTGAGCTCAGGCGATCCATCCGCCTTGGTCTCCTAGAGTACTAGGATCACAGGCGTGAGCCAGCGTGCCTAGCCCATAGTGACCTTTTATAACTTTCAGTTATCAAAGGAGTGCAGGGACAAAAACAGGTGTTTTTAATACAAAGGGAAAAAAAAATCAGGTAATTGAGCATTTAATGTCTTCAGTTCTCATCTGTTGAGTGTTAATGCTTACATTTGAGATTAATTAATACTCGTGCTTATTAGTATTATGATTTTATTTGTAGAAATTACATGCGTAGTTGGGAAAGCTCGCCTTACTGTGATGGAGCCTTTCTTTTGTCTTTTCCTCATATTTCATCATTTTCTTGTAGGTTTCAAGACTTAATCAGAGAACTGTCTCATCGTGATCAAAGTGAAACGCGGGAACTAGCTGAAATGCCACCACCTCAATCAAGACTTTTGCAATACAGACAAGTGCAGACTAGGAGCCCACCAGCAGTCCCGTCTCCCCCGTCCGGTACAGACCACAGTAGCCACTTTTCTAACTTTAATGACAACAGCAGAGACATTGAAGTAGCCAACAACCCAGCATTTCCACAGCGCCTCCCACCCCAGATATTCAGCTCTCCTTTTTCGTTGCCATCTGAACACCTTGCCCCACCTCCCCTGAAATACCTGGCACCTGACGGAGCATGGACTTTTGCTAACTTGCAGCAGAATCACCTAATGGGGCCTGGCTTTCCCTACGGCCTACCTCCACTGCCTCACAGGCCACCACAGAACCCTTTTGTACAAATACAGAATCATCAACATGCTATTGGTCAAGAGCCATTTCACCCACTGTCATCTCGAACAGTATCTTCTTCTTCGCTCCCTAGCTTAGAAGAGGTAAATGTCTTTCTTCTTATTTTCCTTTTTTCATTTTGGGATTAGTTGATTATTGAAAATATTGACAGTAATTGATTTGAGAACAGCAATAGACAAAACTGAATTTAATAATCAGTTAAAGATAATCCTTTCTGGTGGTGCCCGTAGCTCAGTGGTTAGGGCGTCAGCCACATACACTGAGGCTGGCCCCCAGCCTGGGCCAGCTAAAACAATAATGACAACTGCAACAACAAGAAAAAAATAGCTGGGCGTTGTGGTGGGTGCTTGTAGTCCCAGCCACTTGGGAGGCTGAGGTAAGAGAATTGCTTAAGCCAAAGAGTTTGAGGTTGCTGTGAGCTGTGATGTCAGAGCACTCTACCCAGGGCAACAGCCTGAGACTCTGTCTCAGAAAAAAAAAGGTAATCCTTTCTTGGAAATTATTTTACTTACCGCCCTCTTATTGTGGTATTTCAGATCTTACAGAATGGTGTCTATTGTTGAAACGTGAAACTCCTTAAGAGTCTTTTATGGCTGTTCTGAATGTCTAAGGACTCTTATTTATTCAAGCAGCTTTATCTTTCCTAATCTGAAGAAATGGTGTTTAGCGGTTCATATTTTTACTTTAAGTTACAGATGTTAATTACAAATTTGTTGGCTTGGTGCCCATAGCTCAGTGGTTAAGGCACCAGCCACATACACCCAAGGCTGCCAGGTTTGAATCCATCTGGGGCCTGCTAAACAACAATGAGAACTGCAACAAAAAATAACTGGGCATGTGGCAGGCACCTGTAGTCCCAGCTACTTGGGAGGCTGAGGCAAGGGAATCTCTTAAGCCTGAGAGTTTGAGGTTGCTGTGAGCTGTGACACCACAGCACTCTACCCAGGGCAACATAGTGAGACACTGTCTTAAAAAAAAAACAAAACAAAAAGGATTACAAATTTGTTAATTGGAGATTTCCAGAGATGCTGGCTTTTCCAGCCCCGGGTCAGTTCCCAGTGCTGGCTGGGCTCCTTCCATTGCTCATCAGTATGTTAGACTCAGGAGGTTGATGTGCAATGAGAGTCTGATTCCCAGATGTTAGAATTTGCAGATATTTAACATAAAACTGACTCTGCTAAACTAAGCATTTTAAGGTAAATTGAATTTTTTAAAATTAAAATCGATAAAAATATAAAGGGAAATTACAAACATATTTCACTTATAAATGAGGATGCAATATCCTAAACAACATATTAACAAGTTGAATTAAAAATTATTGTTCAAATAATGTACTTTGGTCAAAATTAAATCCAACTTATGTGAGAATTAGTCACTGTTTTCTTTTTTTTTCCTTTTCCTTTCAGCTACTCCCTCCCTCCTTCTCTCTCTGTCTGCTCTTCTCTTTCCCACCATGTCATTAATTGTCATTAATTGTCCTCATATCAAAGCTGAATATATAGGATTCATGCTTCTCCATTCCTGTGATGCTTCACTAAGAATAATGTGTTCCACCTCCATCCAGGTTAATACAAATGCTGCAAAATCTCCATTTTTTAAATGGCTGAATAGTATTCCATGGTGTACATATACCACAGCTTGCCAGTCCATTCCTGGGTTGAGGGGCATTTAGGCTGTTTCCACATTTTGGCACTTGTAAATTGAGCTGCAATAAACAGTCTAGTACAAGTGTCTTTATAATAAAAGGTTTCTTTTCCTTCTGGATAGATGCCCAGTAATGGGATTGCAGGATCAAACGGGAGGTCTAGGTTGAGTTCTTTGAGGGTTTTCCATATTTCCTTCCAAAAAGGTTGTATTAGTTTGCAGTCCCACCAGCAGTGTAAAAGTGTTCCTTTCCACATCCGTGCCAGCATCTGCAGTTTTGAGATTTTGTGATATGGGCCATTCTCACTGGGGTTAGATGATATCTCAGGGTGGTTTTAATTTGCATTTCTCTATTAATTAGGGATGAGGAGCATTTTTTCATATGTTTGCTAGGCATTCATCTGTCTTCTTTAGAGAAGGTTCTATTCATCTCTCTTCCCCATTGATGTATGGGATTGTTGGCTTTTTTCATGTGGATTAATTTAAGTTCTCTATAGAGCCTAGCTATTAAGCTGTTGTTTGATTCAAAACATGCAAATATCCTTTCCCATTAGGTAGGTTGTCTATTTGCTTTGTTTGTTTGTTGTCTCCTTAGCTGTACAGAAGCTTTTCAGTTTAATTAAGTCCCATTTGTTTATTTTTGTTGTTGTTGCAATGGCCATGGCAATCTTCTTCATGAAGTCTTTCCCCAGGCCGATATCTTCCAGTGTTTTTCCTATTCTTTCTTTGAGGATTTTTATCATTTCATGCCTTAAATTTGAGTTCTTTGTTCATCTTGAATCAATTTTTGTGAGTGAAGAAAGGTGTGGATACAGTTTCAGTCTTTTACATGTGGATATCCAGTTCTCCCAGCACTATTTATTGATTAGGGAGTGTACATTCTCGTTTAGTTTATCGAAGATTAGGTGGTTGTTAAGTTGTTGGTTTTCTATTCAATTCCAAATGTCTATGTGTCTATTTTTGTGCCAGTACCATGCTGTCTTGACCACTATACCCTTGTAGTACAGCCTAAAATTTGGTATGGTGATGCCCCCGGCTTTGTTTTTATTACTGCCTAAGAACTGCCTAAGCTATATGGGGTTTTTTCTGGTTCCATACAAAATGCAGAATCATTTTTTCCAAGTCTTGAAAATACGATGTTGGTATTTTAATAGGGATGGCGTTGAATCGGTAGATTGCTCTGGGAAGTATAGACATTTTAACAATGTTGATTTTTCCCAGCCGTGAGCATGGTATGTTCTTCCATTTGTTAAAGTCCTCTGCTATTTCCTTTTTTAGGGTTTCATAATTTTCTTTATAGAGGTCCTTCACCTCTTTTGTTAGGTATATTCCTAGGTATTTCATTTTCTTTGGGGCTATGGTGAAGAGAGTTGTGTCCTTATTTAGCCTCTTATATTGACTGTTGTTGGCGTATACAAAGGCTACTGACTTGCGGACATTGATTTTATATCCTGAGACATTACTGTATTTTTTGATGACTTCTAGGAGTCTTGTGGTTGAGTCTTTGGGGTTCTCTAAGTGTAAGATCATATCATCAGCAAAGAGGGAATGACCTCCTCTGCTCCCATTTGGATGCCCTTTATTTTCTTGTCTTGCCTAATTTTATTGGCCAGAACTTCCAGCACTATGTTGAATACTCATGGTGACAGAGGACAACCTTGTCTGGTTCCATTTCTAAGTGGAAAAGCTTTCAGTTTAACTCCATTCAGTAAATATTAGCTGTGAGTTTGTCATAGATAGCTTCAATCAGTCTAAGAAATGTGCCACCTATGCCTAAACTCTTCAGTGTTCTAATTAGATAGGATGCTGGATTTTATCAAATGCTTTTTTTGCTTCTATTGAGAGGATCATATGGGCTTTGTTTTTGCTTCTGTTGATAAGGTGAATAACATTTGTGAATTTACATATATTAAATCAGCCTTGCATCCCTGGGATGAAACCTACTTGATCATGATGTATGACTTTTTTGATGATAAGCTGTAATCTATTGGCTAGGATTTTGTTGAGAATTTTTGCATCTATATTAATTAGTGAAATTGGTCTGAAGTTCCAAATATTGATCCATTTCCTTCACATTGTCAAATTGCTGGGCATAGACTTTCTGGTAGTATTCAGAGACAATCTCTTATATCTCTGTGGCATCAGTTGTTATTTCCTCTTTATCAATTCTCACTGAAGTTACTAGAGATTTTACTTTTTTATTTCTAGTTAGTCTGGCCAAAGGTTTATCTGTTTTATTTATTTTTTCAAAAAAACAACTCCTTGTTTCATTAATTTTCTGAATGACTCTTTTATTTTCTATTTCATTGATCTCTGACTTAATTTTGGATATTTCTTTTCTTCTGCTGGGTTTAGGCTTAGATTGTTCTTTTTCCAATTCCATAAGATGGCTTGCGAGCTTGTTGATATGCTCTCTGTCTGTTTTTTGAATGTAGGCTTCTAAAGTGATGAATTTTCCTCTCAGGACTGCTTTTGCAGTATCCCACAGGTTTTGGTAGCTTGTGTCTTCATTGTTGTTATACTCAAGGAAGTTAATGATTTCCTCTTTTATTTTTTCCTGGACCCAATTGTCATTCAGTAGAAGGTTGTTTAATTTCCATGCCTTTGTGTGGGGTTGAACGTTTTTGTGGGGTTGGGTTCCACTTTTAGTGCCTTGTGGTCTGAGAAGATGCAAGGTAAAATTTCAATTCTTTTGATTCTGTTGAGGTTTGTTTTGTGTCCTAGGATATGATCAATTTTGGAGAATGTTCCATGGGACGGTGAAAAGAATGTATATTCTTTATCTTTTGGAGTGTTCTATGTACGTCTATCAAGCACAGGTTTTCTAGGGTCTCATTTAAGTCTCTTATATCTTTGTTTAATTTCTGTTTAGAGGTTCTGTCCAGCTCTGAGAGAGGGGTGTTAAAGTCCCCTATTATCACCTATCATGGTGTTATAGGATATCATATTGCTCAGACTAAGTAAGGTCTGTTTCAAGAATCTAGGAGCATTTAAATTGGGTGCATAGATATTTAGAATCGAAATGTCATCTTGTTGTATTTTTCTCTTGACCAATATGAAGTGACCATCATTATCTTTTTTGACTTTAGTTGCTTTAAATCTATGTGTATCTGAAAATAAGATTGCAACCACTCTTTTCTTCTGAATTCCGTTTGCCTGAAAAATTGAATTCCATTCCTTAACTCTGACTTTTAATTTGTCTTTTGACATCAGGTGTGTTTCCTTCACAGCAAATAGATGGCTTGTATTTTTTAATCCAATCACCCAATCTATGCCTTGTCAGTGGGGGATTCAAGCCACTGATATTTATTGAGATAATTGGTAAGTGTGGGTGCATTCTGTTCATCTTACTAAGTGAAAGTCCATTGCTTAGTTTTATCTTTTGCATCATTGTGGAAACTAGGTTCTGTCCTTTAATTTCTGGGTATTTAATTTGCTG